TTTTTTTTTTTTTTTTTTAAGCGGTGTGCCGACGACCCCCGACCAGTAGGTGCCGATTCTGCCGACCAGCTGACCGGTCGGCGGGTCGGCAGCCGACCAGTCAAGGGTCGCCGACGGTCGGGGTGTGCAACACTGCCCCCCTGACATTTCTCTCCAGAGGAATCTCCTCTTCTTCTTCTTCTTCCACTGCCTTCAGCTTTTCTTCTTCTTCTTTCTTCAGTCTCTCCATCTCCTCCTCCAACGTTTTCTTCTTCGCCACCTTCTCTTGCAATAAGACCTGCTTCTTCAACTTCTTTTTTTCCCTTCTCTCCTTAGTGGCGACCAACTCTTCCCGTTCCTTTGTATACGGGATGGTGGTTGTATCCTTACGTGTGGTCACCATGGTGAAAGATGCACAACTAAGTGACAATTCCACTCCTCACCACTTAGACTTCCACCCCCTGACTGACCGACTAACTGGCCGATTCTCTATGGACCACAGAGTCCTCCCCTTTGTTCCAGCCAGGTTACCACAGCCGACGGAAGTTTTCGCCACCACTGTCCTTTACAATCCTCGACCCAGATGCCCTGCACCTGCGGTCAACCCACATGGCTTTCACTCCGGTTCAGAACCCTGTCAAGGAGGCATTTAAGGAGATCCCTTATAACTCCTCAGGAATTCTTTAACGTCACAAACAAAACGACGCGATCAGCAAGTACTCTCAAGACTTAGACAGTCTGTTGTGCAGCCCACAACTCGGATTTTGGGCCAACCATGCCACACTGAGCAGCCCACCGGTCTATACCGGTCCTTGGGAGGGTTAGTCCTCCGGGACGTGTCAGTCGTCAGACATGGACAGCATCCCTACTCAGCCCATGTGGGTTTGGTCAACGCAGCTCTATGACCACATACATGGAGTTCCTATCACCTGGACAAAAGAGACTCAATGCAGAAAGAAGAGACGGACGGACTTAGCAAGTACCATGGGGTGAGTGCACATCCATAGGGCGAGGGAATAGGCTGAAGGCTTGGCGAAGTTATGCCAACTCCAGCTTGGTCAAATTCGTGGTCAACAGCTCCGGTCAACGCTGGTCAATGCCTCGGTCAACTCTTCGGTCAACTCTTCGGTCAACACTCCGGTCAACTCTTCAAGTTCGGCTATGGCTGCCGACCCCCTTTTCCTTCACCAACCTTCACCTTCCTCCTTCTCTCTTCCCTCCTTTCTCTCTTCACCTTCACCCCCGGCTATGGTTTATTTCTCCTCCCTTGTCTCTCCTTCCTCCTCCACTTTCTTTCTTCCTCACTTGGTCTTCTTGCTCACTTCTAGTCTCCTCCTTCGTCTTCCTCTCTGTGTCCGAGCTCAATGGGTATGGCCGCCACCTTCCTCCTTGAGCCCCAACAACCAATCTTGTATCGCGCCTCTCTCTCTCTCTCTCTCTCTCTCTCTCTCTCTCTCTCTCTCTTCTTCGTCGTCGTTGTCTGTGCAGGTGAGCGGCGTCTTCCTGCAGTGGTGCAGTTATGGCAGCTCCATCTTCCTGTTGACGACGACGATGGCAGGTGGAACAACGGGAACCATCTCTGATACCAAGGCAATCAGACTCATCTTCTTCCTTACTCAGCATGCATGAAAACAAATGGCAATCACACTGGCGCCAGGCGCCCACACAAAGCTCAGGGATATCATGGCCAAAAACACAGTTCAGATTCAACTTGCTTCGAATGGCTATGACGCCTGTGCGCCCTGACAACAACCTTCCGACACTTTATTCCCAGCAACTGTTCCCACACACGCTGCTCTGAATCTCCCTGGATGCCCCACACACGCACACACTTCGTTGAACACACACACATACACACTATAGTCCATCTCTAGCCTACAGCAGCTATGGCTGCGTTCTACCTCTACCAGTAACTAGCGGCTATGGCCGCTTCGTCTCCCTTACAGCCCACTTCTCCCCCGGTGTGGCATACTGCGTAGCCACACGGGCCCTGCAGGGCCGTCCCGGACATTCAGCCTAAAAGCCTAAAACTTAGGGCTTACAGGCCCCGGTCGTTTCAGCCAGAAAGCTGAAAAACGAGGGTCTGCAGACCCTACTCCGTTCCGGCCTATTTCTGAGTTTTTCCAGCCTGAAACGGAGGGCCATTTTCAGGCCCTCATTGTTTCGACCTGCCCCTAAGACTCAGGCACGTAAACAGGGATGTGGAACAGGCCAAGAATAGCCTGTTCCTCATGTGCTCGAGCAGGAGCTGCAGCTGCAGCCCCTGCATGCCTTCGGCATTGGCAAGAGCAGCCTCCTGGACTGCTCACACGAGTCAGGAGGCACACCCGAGAAGTACATAGGACTGTCCTAGGCACTTCACGGGTAGGTAGTTAGTCAGTAGTGACGACATTGGATACAGACTCGACATTTGGGATTCAGACATTTTGACGAGGGACTATTTGGGCCTGTGCCGAAGACTTGGTGTTTACGGCATTCCCGTATTTCCCTCCTCTTCGTCTAACCCCCCTCATCTTCGTCTGTGTATGTGTGGGGCTGGCGCAGTCTTCCTGTGTGAAGCGCCAGACCCCTTTCACACYCWGGGATGATRATGATGATGTATGTTCTGGACTGCATTGTAACATTGATTGATCGGATCATTGGTATCTAAGTCTTTCGTTTGCGCCATCTGGTACTTTGTATTGAGAGGTCGGTTCTTGTTCTGTCTGTACCTTTACGGTATGCAACTGTTTGGTATCGGAGCGGACCTCTCATTCAGAGGACCCACTCAATCAAGTAGCGAGCTTGCTTGATCTATTGAACTTGTTAGTAAATCAAGTAGGACTTCGTCAAATCTCTGAAAAAAAAAATTCTTTCTTTCGCATATCTGAAAATTCGTAATATTAGCATCTCGTTATATCTGAAATTTCTGATAATCGCATTTAGTTGTTTTATGAAAATTTCGATATTAGTATTTCGTTTTCACGTAACAAATATCTGAAAATTTCTGAAAATCACATTTCGTTTTATCTGAAATTCCTGATATTAGCATTACGATCTACCTGAAAATTCCGATATTTGCATTTCGTTCTTACGCAACAAATATCCGAACTTTCTGAAAGTAGCATTTCGTTTTCTGATGTTTTGCATACATAGCCGAAATTTCTGATATTCGCATATTCTCTGACTTTCGTATTTCATGTTCTAAGCAAATAGGATAACGATAGGAATGGTCATATTCTCGGAAACTCGATTTACTCGGTTCTGAAAATCGAATCTCCATCCTATCTCGCAATTTTTTTTTTAAACTGAGATCTTGCGGGGCCTATCAGCATGGCATTTTAGGCATAGTAGCAGATTGTCATATTTGGAGAAGCGGGATTTAGTTCTTTTTTGAACATCGCATCTCTACTCTATTTCGCAAATTTTTTTTTTTTCAAGATTGCAGTTGGTAAAAGCCGAAACTTTGCGAACCTAGCCTAGAACTCGTTCATCGTACTTTTCTGACATGTCTCACGCATAATAGATCGACAGATATACAAAAAAAAAAAAAAGGAAGTAGTCCTCTTTTATTTTTTATTTTATTTATCTGTTGATTAGGGCCGAAGGAAAGTATTGTTGGGTTGGTTACCTACCTGCGTTTTCCCTCCCACCCACCCCTTGCATGCATACCGGTTCGGTACAGTGCCACGTCACAGTGCCAGATCGGCAGTGCCACGTCACAGTGCCAAGTCGCAGTGCCAAGTCACAGTGCCAAGTCACAATGCCACGTCAGTAGTGCCACGTCACAGTGCCAGATCAGCAGTGCCACGTCAGCAGTGCCAGGTCACAGTGCCACGTCAGACATAGTACCACGACAGCAGTGCCACGTCAGACACAGTGCCACGTCAGCAGTGACGTCAGACACAGTGCCACGTCAGCAGTGCCACGTCAGCAGTACCACGTCAGACACAGTGCCACGTCAGCAGTGCCACGTCAGCAGTGCCACGTCAGACACAGTGCCACGTCAGCAGTGCCACGTCAGCAGTGCCACATCAGCAGTGCCACGTCAGCAACATGACGGGCCTGCCAGGCCAACTGGCCAATGAGCCCATTGCCGACTACAAAAAGCGCTTCCAGGCTCAGCTCGTTGCAATCGAGGCTGAGGAACAACGCCAGCTGGCAGCCAAGGCTGCCCAGCTATAGGCTGACGAAGCGGCAACAGCAGAGAAGCTGCGGCTACAGGCCGAAGCAGACGCAGATGCCCAGGCTCGCCGCAAGGAAGCCCAGGATCTGCTGCAGCGGCATGAAGCCACAAGCATCGACAGACTCAAGTTCTGGCACTTTGAACCTAACGGCGACGAGGCAACACCAGAAGAGAAGCATAAGGAGTTTCTCTCCAAACTCATAACTCGGCTGTTGTACACATGCAACTACCAACAGTCCGAGTTGGAGAGACAGCACCAGGACCTAACGCAACAACATCAGGAGATGGAGACGCTCCGCCGCACAATACAGAGCCACGAGGATGCAACTCGGGCACTCAATGCCCGATTGCTGGACCTGGAACAGGCTGTACCAGGACCAGCTGTTGGGGCTTCCAGCAGTGCACCCTCTAGCCGCCAACTGGAGCAACGCGTTGACCACGTAGTGGCAATGCTCGGCGACATCAGCACCTTCGTCGCGCTGGCCACCATCAGCAGTCAGCTGCATACCTTGCAGACCGAGGTCCAGCAGCTGCACGGATGACAATCGAAGATGTACAAAATGCCAACTTTCCAACTGGAAAAGTTTGACGACTACACGCATCAGGATCCGACCCTCTGGTGGGAGGCATTCACAACGCAACTCAGGATTCTGCCCGTCGCCAAGCACGCGTACATCGGCGCCCTGTTCCTGAACTCAAAGGGCGGATGCCAGACCTGGTTGACCCACCTGGCAACCTCCCACGGCGTTGATGTACCAGACTTGAAGGACAAGCTCACATGGGAGGAACTGACACTGTTGTGGAAGAAGCGGTTCATCGTCGACGATGCGCCGGCACTCGCCATCAACCGTCTGTTCACCATGTCACAGGGCAACACTGCAACACGGGACTGGCTCACGGAGTGGCAGAAGATTGCGGCAATGCCCAATTTGGACTTGCCATTCACACATCTCAGGCGTGAGTTCTACAATAGATTATGCGCTGCACTGAGCCCGACGCTTGGTGATCGCGAGCAATACTCAACCTTTGCAGAGATCATTGACAAAGCGAGGGAGATCATCAAGACCAACAGGTCAGCTGCACACGAGAAATCAACATGGCAGCCGACCTATGTGGAGAAGGCACGAACTGGTCCGCGACAGCAACACTTTGCTGCAGTCCAGTCGGACAGTGGAGATAACCCATCAGCCACTCCAGCATCAAGTGACGGAGATCAGGTGGCTGCTGTCCAGCCGCGAAGCAACAACAAGTCTCGCAACAATGGGAAGGCGAAATCCACATCGCAGGCCGAAAATGGACAACCAGTACAAGTTTCATGGGTCAAGTTCGGCTTGACCGAGGCGGAGTACAAGGTCCGCGGCCGCTACGGCAGCTGTTATTGGTGCAACAGCACCAAGCACAAGACCTCCCTGTGTCAGGATCAGGGCAAGGAGGATGTGCGACCCCGCCTCAGCTCGGGAAACTGAGCTCCGCGGAAGGTGAGGCGACTCCACCTTCTACTCCGCCAGATTCGGCCGCCTTGCTAGCGGCCTCCTGCACATCTGGGGAGAACGCGAATGTCGCAAGT